CTTCTGTGGATTATATTTAATGATTTTCAATCAATTTTCTTCTTAACTAAACTCCAAGTGGTCATACTGCAGGGGAAAGAAAGCATAAGCTCTGTATTCTCATATTTCCCTTATTTATTACATGTGAGTGGTTCTAATTACAGTAATATTACAATATTCCAGGCAGGAACTTGTAGAAATAACTACAAGGAGGATGAGTTGCAGGGTTACTTGTGGGGTTAGTAAAGGTGACTGAGGCACTTTGCATTCATCGCTTCTACTTTCTGCCTGTGTCTTCCCAGCTGCATGGCATCCGTCCAGCTCCTCTAGACCTAGTAGGAAGCAGCAGCCTGGGGCGTGTGAGTATGCGTGCGTGTGTGTGTGTGCGCGCATGTGTGCGTGTGTGCGTGTGTGTGTGTGCGTGTGTGGTGTTGCATGAGGCCGTTCTTCTCTTACAGTAATATATGATGGGGCCATTTCTCCTGGGTGATCTGATGCGGGGAACTGTCCCTGTGTGTGACCTGCCTGAGTGCATGAGCCTTTGCACAATGAGGACTTAAACACAGGAGCTTCATTTGCCTCTGAGGAAGAATTGTTTTGCAGATAACTTCAATTCACAAGCTGTTCAGCTCACAAGAGCTCAATGGCAGATTATCCTTCTGCCTTTCCTGTGCCAGAGATCATCCTTCTGCTTCTTTCCAGGGATCTCAGGAAGAAGGGTCTATCCCTTACATAACACATGGGATCTGGTTGTCACACAGTCTCCTCAGGAATCCACGTTACTCTGTGCATTACAATCAAGTCAGCGAACTTCCAATGTGAAGTGAGCAGTGCTGATAGCAGCTGAAACAGCTGTACACCCTGTAGCTCCTGAACAGCACAATGTTTTTAATAGCCTTTAACAGAAGTGATGCAGTTGTTTAAAAACTGCAGTAACTAGTTCTCCTTTATAAGGGTTATTGACATGTTGAGGATTTATTTTACAAAAAAGAAGCAATAGTGCAACAGGGGAAATTCATGATTGAAAGACTTAGGCAAAATTAAGAAGATAAATTAGAAAAGAAAGGACAAAGAAGAAAACCTAAAACTAAAAAGATAGCAAAAGAGATCAACAGCTGCACCCTTCAGGAAATTTAAGATTTTTTTAACAAATGAGATTTAAGATTAAACTTTTCTGCACAATGATTTTTAGTAGATTCCAAAGGATATAAATGCTAATCATACATGAATTAACCCTGTAGTGTATATAGCACTTTACAGTTTTTAAAGACATGCTAAATCATCAGTTGAGGAAATGGCAGATGGATACCAACTCAGGGAATAGTCCATTAGTTTTATTGGCTCTGATTTCTGCTATGACTCAATAACTTTCGGTAGCACTCCTTAAGGAATTAGCTCTTGTTAGCATGTAGGAGAGTCAGAACCAGGCCCACAGCAAATAAAACCCTACTGTTTATAAAAACACTTTGGATTTACTCACACACTCTTTGGTTCTGTATGTTGTCAGTTCAATGAGGTTCAGAAAGAAAGGCATGATTCTGCCTTGTTTATTTCATAGTAGGTCTCAAACTGCAGCATAATAAATCACAACTATTATTTTTCGTGTTACGCATAAACACCGAATGTTGTTAATGTGGCTGAATGTGAATTTATGCATCACAAACTCTGAAATGAGATGCCTTCCCGCAGCTCTAATACTGTGTTGTGGTCATGACCAGGGGCTTTTTGGAGTGCAGTCTTTTATGTACCTGAGTTTGGGTTTCTAGCAAAGGCTGCGTTTTAGTAATGGTCATGATAGGACGGTAACTTCTGTTGCCTGTAATTTGAAGGTTGGCAGAATGGAAGGTTATGACAACTGTTTATGGCCTTGAAGTTCACAAAAGAATAGTGGGTACCTTCAGAAAAAAACAAACCCAGCCCACTGAAGGATATGAGTGAGATAAAAGGAAAATTTTAGTCTGCAGAGAACCATCTTCCCACTAGAAAGGCTAACACAATTATACAAATTGTTCCAGGAAGAGCAAAATTAATGAAATTTATTTTAGTAAGGAGTCAGGTCTGTTGCCCTCTACCGTTTCTGCCCTGCTCCCTTCCTTGCTAATAACCAAAAGTCTCCTTATGGCACTCCTATCAAAAGAAAAAGAGCAGGTCTGGAGCTATCTGTGTGTTGAATGGCCAACCGATATGCACACACTGATTTATCCTGCTGTCTGCTGCCAAACAGAGTGTATAACAGCTGTGTTCTGCATGCTTTTCTTTCAGTGGAGGAACTAATCTGAGTCTCTCTTTTATAACCGATTTTCACAATCGGACAGTTCTGCCCCTTTTTCAAATTTGATTGAAATTGGCAAAAATTCCTTAGTAAGTACAGAAGAGATTGACAGATGGAAGGATAGAGAACAGGATAACATAAGCCTTGTTTTCTTAGCAGGCTAAGATGGCATAACTGATGCAGTAATTTAATGTTGAGACTAATGGATTTTTTCCAAATAGGGAAGCAAAGTACGTTGATTTCATTGATTGATGTGTTTAACACTCCCTTGAGATCATTCAGCTTGTCCCATTCATTGCTTAATGCTTTACTGAAGTGTAAATATATACATATCAGCAGGCATCTTACACTGGTTTGGGATTGGGCACATCTGTGATTTAGTCTGGCCTGATGACATTAATTTCCTTTCTCCTCAAGCTGTCTTACTTAGAAGTGTACCATTTTGTTTGCATGTGTTTGGTAAGGAAAGTCTAGCTATGGCTTCCATGAGCAAAGTGCACTCTGCATCTATGTTAGCAAGTCTAAGTGCACAAACCAAATTTCCCTTGCTGAATCACAAGGATTAGCTTATTCCTTCATTTTCTGTTTTATTCATTAGTTTACTTTTCCTGATATCAAACACAGCCAGCTTGCAAATGAACAACAAACCTGGGAAAGTTTATTAAGAAGATAGCAGCTAAATGTATGAGTGAAATCTTTATTGAATTTCTCTTCAGAGCATTTCTTGCTTTTGGTGCCTAGATCTAGAAATACGTTGCTAACTTACTCAGTCCCAGAAAGAAGCAGTAGCAAATTTGTGGGTAAATTTGTTCATGAGAAACTCTGTGCTGTTGTGGCTAGGCAGCTGCCTGAAGTCCATCTTGACAAACATAGTGGTTATTTCAGGCCTTAAAAAAATCTAAAAAGGAGCAGATCACAACTTCAGAAGAAAATGAATCCTGCCCAGTTTTTCAGGGATATGCACCTCAGCCGTAGGTGCAAACCAACCTCAGAGAGTCTGAGCAGCAGCATGAGTGGGATTTGGTGACTGCTGAGAAGACGCACAGCAGTTTTCTTTGTGAGGGGAAGCATGGTGGCCTCAGGAATAAGCATGGGAGGATTCTTATTTGAGAAGCACAGCCTCATAAGGAAGGAGCTGTTTGATAAGTGTGGCCTTGCTAGGAGGTCAGATGGACTGTGAAAGCTTGCATACACTTGCAGGTCATTTCAGGTCATGTTGTGGCCTATTATCTAAACAGGAACAGCTGTTCCAAAAGCAGTGTTTCACACTGTTTTGCAATTTCAGGTAAGGTCTTTGGCTTTTAAAGCATGATATCCTCTCCGGGCTGTAGGTCGCTGTATTCAGGGTAGATATCCCATGCACTGTCCCAGATTCAAACCCCTGGAGCTGAGTGACATAAGCTCCACCGAGAAGCCCTGGTTCTTGCAGCCTGCCTTGTGTCAGCAGTCATACCGATGTGCTGCAGTGATGCTGGCCAAGGTGATGATGCTGATGGAAGTGAGAAATTATTTTTTTGTGTGTGGATTTTCCTTTGAGCAGCTGCACTAAGTACGAGAGGTCATGATAAACCCGAGCTGGGGGCTGCTGCTGAAAGGGATTCCCCTGTTCTGCAGCCTCAGCCCTGGCTTCCTGCCTCCCATTACTTGGAGAGAGGGCAGCGCTGCAGAGTGAGTAAGAGGCACTGGGTGACTGGACCTCACAAGGTCCTCCCCCATGCTATCAGTGGTCCAATGCATCTTGTGGTGTAAACTCTAGCCCCAGGCAAGTAGTGGGAGCACCGGTCAGTGTGGGAGACTTGGGTGCCTTTGGGCAGCAGCCTGCAGTCCCCTGGGTGAGCTGTGCCCTGAGCTGTCCCCCTCTTGAGCTGCTGGTTCAGGGCTAGGCTAGCAGCTTGGTGTAGTGTGCGAGGTAGTGCTGCAGGCTTAGGAAGGCCAGCTCCGGCTGCAAGGGTTGAGGCTTTTGCGGTGCAAGGAATGAGAGCAGAGCTTGCCCCAGAGCCACAGTGGCAAAGAGGCCTTACGTGAGAGTCCCTGCTCCTGCGGAAAAAGGTCACTCCTTTTTGGAAAGTTTGTCCTTAGTGTTACTGCAAGCTGATCCGGATAGACACAAAGTGACACACTTCAAAACTTTTAATTTTAACCTCAGGTCACATTCAAGCCTGCATCTTTCTTTGTTATATTGTCTTCCAGAGGAGAATAAAATGAGGGTTTTAGTCCTAGGAAAGAAACAATATAGATTCCTAGTGACAGAGATTCACATCTTCAGGCAGTGAAACGTAAGAGCATAGGAGCATATTTGCAATAGAGACGGCAGGTGCTGCTTGGGGCAGGTAAACTGCTCTTCTCTTGATACTGTAAGACAATTTTTTTGTGTGTTTGCTTGCACACAGTCGGCAGTCATAGGTTTTTATCATTTTATTGAACCTTAGAGTTATCTGTGGATAGATAACAGGGAATGGACGACAGATGATCTGATTTGTGCACAGATTTTGAGCTACAAGTACTATGTAAGAACTGAAAGAGGAACTCCTAAAAGAGTACGAAGACTATTTTATAAAACACTCCCCTGACTTCTTTGCAGATCTGCCACAGATATCCTTCAGGAACTTGAGCAAGTCACTTACGATCTCTGTGAAAAAGAGAAAAATGAGGAGAACATAGTTTCCTTTGCTTTTTACTTTTGTGCTCTTTTCAGGGAGAGGGCGGAATCTGGCATTTCCTTATGCTTTTTTTTTTGCTAATTATTTAGGTCAGACAAATAAGGCACATGGAAAATGTGAGAGAGAAAAGGAGCTGAAGGAAGAGTATAACTACGAGTATGTGGATGAAAACATAATCGAAAACACAAGAAAAGTACTTCAAAATAAGAATGTAGTCTCTGAAGAGAAAAGGTGAGTGATCATTATGGATGTAAAGAAACGCAGCCAGAGTGATTTTTCAACTGACTGGTAATCACCCTTCTTTAAAACAAGATGATTTTCCCAGGGAGCCATCATTATTATACACAAGTACTCAGGAAGGATACTCTGATGTTAACACTACCATTTATGACCCACTGCCATTCTTAGGGATGTCATCTTTGTCAAAGTGTTGCCTACTGTCATGCTGGGAATATAACTGCACAGGCAATACAAGACTTGTAGGGGGAGCCAAAACCTTAACTTGATCAGTAATTATAGTTAGAAAAATAGAAGAAGACCCAAAGAAAGGCTTTGTATCTGAAAGCTTGTCTAATTTTTCCCATTTGTACCAATTCAGTGTATCAAAAGCTAAACTCTGAATACAAACGTTGTTCTGTCTTTGACAGCGTGCCCCATGTAATGCATAATTAAAGTTTGTCTCTTTTAAAAAGTTTCCAGGCAATTATCTGTATTTCTACTGAATCTCTGCAGTTCTGCTTTGGCAGGCTGCAGAAGGCTTAAAGTGCTAGTGAAAAGGGCCTTGCTTCTCAGAAGCTCCAAGCATCATTTCCAGCTAAGCACAAACTGGACTTTTATCTAGATCTGAGTGAAACTATGTAATCTAAACTCTTTTCACTCGTAGTTAAACCTTTTATGAACTTTTCTTTGTTTAGCTGAACTGCTCCTCTTGTTAAGAGAAATCTCTGACAACCCAGCAAAACCTAAAGGTTTAAACAATTGGAAAGTTATACTTTATTATGAAGTGATATCTTATTTCAAAATGTACTTTGTTTTTATTTTAAAATGACATGTAACATTTCCGTTCCATTTAAACCAGGCGTGCAGTGGATCTGAAATGAGTAAGGTTATTATTTTCTTTTTTTAGAACATACTCCTCCCCTAACTGACAGAAAACATATACCATTGAGTAGGAGTGGAACTGTCTTGAAATGTCATGTAGCAGCAGGCAGATCCCCTCCATTTGACCATCCAGTATTCCCTAAATAATGGGTCCTAACTTTTCTCTCTCTCAGTAATTCTGCTGCTCTCCTCCCCACCCCCCCACCACCAAATTCCTCTCTTAATTCAGCATAATGAGTGACTTTCAATGAGGACTTGAGGAGGCCATTCCCCCATCTCTGCATGCCTAGGTAGGTGGGAGAACGTGCAGGAGATATCCTACCCCTCCTCCAGCCCTGGTAGTGGTACATTGCAGCTTGTTCTGATTTACCTGGTAATTTCCTTGCCTTGCAGGGCAAGGTGTGGTATCACCTGCTCACAGCCACAGAAATTAAAAAGTTACAGGAAAGGCTGACAAAGGAGGTAAAGTAGGACACTTTGTATAATGCATTACTTCCTCAGTCCGTATTCCGCTGAGGATGGGGACTTGTTCTATGAGTGTAAACAAGGCTGAAAGGAGAGAAAGAGAAAATGAAACTCTCTTTTTGATTAAAATAATCCTTTTGACTATAGACATTAAGGCAAAAACACATTTTCAAGAAGCAATGTCTGAAAGGAAGATTAGCTTCTAATTATACTGCTTACTGTTGTGGCATCCGCTCTTCAAGTCTTCATCCACCTTTTCTTTAAATTCCGTAACAATGGAGGAAAGGTGTCAGTTTATTTAGTTGTCTAGTTTGAGGGCTTTAGCAAAACATGAAAGAAAAGACCTTTGCTGCCTCTAGAGAGATCTCTGTCTGCCTTGGATTATTAAACAGTTCCATAAATTGTGGTCTTCTGTGGATGCCAGGACAGTCTGCCCTCTAAGATCATTAGACAGCCAAAGAACACATAGCTCTTCTGGCCTGCTGATCTGCCCCACCCACCTCGATCATCAGAAATCCCCCATTATGGCTTTTATCTAGCATTTAAAATTTCTATCAAGCTTCTACACTTGCACTTTTGTGAGCATTTTGAGAAATGTGGTTTCAATTTAGGCGTATGAAATTAACCTTTTATGTGTACAAAAACAAACTTGTGAAATTAATAGTACCTTTAGAATCAGCTTTTTGAACATGTATGCCATACAGCTAGTTGAAAGGCTTAAAAAAAAGAAAAAGCTGTTTTAGGCTTACTTTAAGTCAAATAATGAAGAAAAAAAAAGAACTTTCTCTTGCATCTCTGCCAAATGCTTATCATCCCATCACGTTAGTTCTACTTTGAGAACTCTTCTAATTAACTCTTTCGCATCCATGGTCTTGCCCTTCTTCGGGACTTTTATGCTATTTAATGACCTTCTTTAATTTTTTGCAGCATATGAGCTATCAAAATGAAATCTATTGAGTTAAATTGCTTTACAGCAGAGTTAGTACAAAAAATATTGAAGTACAGATGCAAAGCTCAACAGTCAGTCATACCTTAAGAAAATCAGTATCCAGCATTTTCAGTGTTTCATCAATGCCTAAAAAAATCCACAGTTAGGGCCAAAGCATGCTGGGATGATACTAGTAAGAACTAGTCCTCATCCCAAACAGAAGGGAGAAATAAAGAACAGTGATTTGCCTTAAGTGATTGCTATGTTACTTTTAATAAAATAAATGTGCCCCGAGGGTCAATGATGTTAACATGACCTCATCACTGCAGAACAATAAGCAATTAAGCAAGAGATTTGACTATAGAGGCCTCAGCTTGCTGTAGCCACAACTGCCATTAACATATTTTAACCTTTCTTTAAAGATTCAAGAGGAAGTAGGAAAAAAACCAAAAGCATTTAAAATGCATTGAATGGGGCTTTCTTTTTAACGGCATCATGAGTTTCTTTCCTTTTACTGCCATTTCTGTTTTTTAAATGAGGAAACCCCTGAGTTTGACAGTCTTTTAGGGGGCATTAAAGATCATTATAACTATTTTTCTTGGCCATGACAAAAGTTTATTGAAAGGAACTGGAAGAGCTCTGATGCTGCTATAATGACTCATCCTACGTCCTTGAAAGGAGAAGTGAGACAGAGGCAAGCAGAAGTGACAAGAACAGAACACCACAACAGAGAACGCAGCATCTGTCTCAAATGCTGACAGTTGCTGGTAGCCTCATGGCTGGAGACAGACAGAAGCAGTATGGTCCAGAAATGTGGAGAGCTGAACATGTGCATCGGTGTCAGGCTGCTTCAGGGCATTGCTCTCTAGACTTGAACTTCACATGAGTGCTGCCAAAGAATGGTCTTATTTGACTAAGCCCAGGCTCTTAGAAAACGAGCCAAAAAAGGAGAAGTAGAAAAGAGAAAGAAAGGAAGCAGGGAGCAAAAGGACTACATGGGGGAAATGTTAATAACAGGAAAACAAGTCCTTGTATTTAGGTCGTGGTAGTGCTCATTTACAGTTGGTGATACCAGCTGGAACACTGTCAAGGCAGGTTACGTTTTCAAATCGCCTTTTCAGGAGAGCAAAGTGAAAACCCAACAGTATTATGATGGGACCAAAATCCTAGAGATGAGGAGGGGGAACAGCCATAGTAATAGGGCTCAGCCCTGACACAGCCATCTTTCAGATATCATTGTTTGCACTAAATCTTCAATCTGTTAAGATCTCCAGAAGACACTTGTAGTTAGAATAGTCTGTTTCCTTGTTACTTAGGCCTAATTTCTATAACATACCCACTTTAGTTCATTAACTCCTGGCTTACTTCTTTCTTGCCATGAGCTTAACAATGGAGATGCTTTTGTTTGGACAAATTATACCTTTTATTTTTAACTTATACTGATTGTTCTGTAAATAATTCTATGAAATAGACTGAGGTGGAGCACTTTCTACCTTGAATATGCTGGGCTGCAGGCTCCTGCATGACAGAATGCGGGAGACAGCGCTGCAAACAAAAATCAGCCTTTCTGACCTCACTACATCTTCATTAATCTATTTTACTGTTTTTCTTAGATATTTCTCCTGAGCTTTCACACCACTGATCCTTTAGGTTGGCTCTTTCTTTTGTAGCTCCCCCAGCCTTAGGCTGAATGGCTGAGGCAAACTTTGCAGTCTTGGGGATATTAAAGTTAGAAACACAAATTCATGCCTGAAGTTGTGGGTTCTCAGCACTTTTGAAAGTCCCCCTCCTCTTATGTCATTTTCAATACAGATTTAGGGGCATCACCTAATTTTCCAGTTTTCATTGTTAAATATTTTTCTATGGCCTGATATTTTCACTTTTGCCTAATGTACAAGCTGAAGCTTTTTATCAATGGTGATTACTGAAGGAAGGAAGGATCAAGTGGGAGTAAATAAGTGCAGCTCTGAGAGTTGCAGTTCAGTTCTTGGCTTTGCCACAAACGAGTTCAAGCAGCCTGCTTGTCTCAGAGCAATTATAGGTTCAGAGACTCTAAGGGCAGGGGAGACTACTAGACTGCCATGATCATCTAGTTGTTCATCCTATATGTATGTATATGTCTTGGCATTCCCCTAGAAGACAGATTAAAGTATGTCTTTTTATAGTGTGGCAGAGCTGGGAATAGAGCCCCCTGGCTAAGTCTTAATGGCGTATTGCCCATAAATTCAACAAATGATCAGGATTTCTCCCCATTGGCTGGAGTTGGTAACCCAAGAGGTAAGTTTCTGTCCTCCTGGGTTCAACAGACTGACAGCACTACAAAGGCTTCATTGTTGTAGTTATGCTGGAGACATTGTTGTAGTTATGCTGGAGAAATAAGGGGAAAACTCTTCACTGGAGTCACAGATTATATGGTGCTCTTTTGCCTGTATAGGTTAAACATTTCCCTTTACAGTATAAGCTATACTAGTAAAAGAACGATTTACTAGTGCAAGTTTCATGCACTTAGGCAAAGTTGCTGGCACAGCTGTATTAGGAACATATATTAGCTTTATTTTTGCTGTAGTCTCAGGATTGCTAGCATAATTGGACTGACAAACCATTTTATGGCATAGATGAGCCCTAATTCACAGCCATTAATTTGACTCAAAAGATCATCCACCTGCACTCCCTGTGTAATTTTTAAATCCAAATGTAAAGGCTTCCTGTTTCACTTGGCAATTTTATTTTGTTTGTTTTCAGAGACATGTGAAGCAGAAGAATTCTGAAACTGATCAGAAGCGAGTGGAAAGCTGCATACTTCACGTATTAAGATCAACTGCAGCTATATGAAAAAGCTGCTCATGAAAAAGTGTCCTTCTTCTGTCTCATGAAGAGCATATAAGACTGTAATTCAGCTATAATAATCCCCTGAGAAACTAAACTGCCCACTAGTCCTAAATAAGAAGTCAAACCAGCTAATGTCTTATGACCCTGTGAAGGGACAAAGTTCTTCTTGTACATATTTATTCATGAATTCAGATAATAATGACAAGTCCAATCCTTCATTCTTTTTGTGACTGAAATACTGGTTGATTTTTCTGAACCACTGTAGGGCATATATGAAAGGAACATCCCTTACTGAAACAGCTGCCCAGCTGTTTTGTTGGTTTTCTAGAGGAGGGAAGGATAGACACAGAAATGAAGGGTTGTCTGAAGTGAACCTCCATTTCTTTACCCAGTGATATACGCTC